TTAACACAAATGTCGCTATTTGAACTTAATTTTTCAACAATTTACCTTTAAGACTCTAACTTTCAGTTGACCTTCTATAGGAGAGCCTTGATTGTAAAAAACAATAAGCTACGTGGCACAAGCAGTAGGACACATTTGGGGTTGCCAAAATTTTAAGCTTATTTTGATGTTTGTTAATGTTGACTGATAGAAAAAAAAATTACACCGAATATAATCCGAGCAAATTGATCAGTTTAAGAAGTGTAATACCAGGTTACTTGGCCATATTTTAATCCTCACTAGCAATTAAACATTAGCCTATTGACGCAAAACTTTGTTCAGTTTGTAAAACACATGCATTTAACAAACTATCGACAAAAGTCAAAACAATTACGATGCAAACGAAATATTTAAGTTAAGTAACAAAGGGAGCGAGAAAGTGCTTCAAACTACTTATTTTTAGAAGAAAACAGAATAAGTCAATTTTATTCTTTGGGAGTGCGAGTTGCGGCAATCAAAGCAACAGTTTAAAGCCAGGTTATGGGCTCTAAAGGGCGAATTCCTCAATTCTTCGCCACATGAACACACACAGCCGGACTATGCTTTAATGGAAATGTATGTCATCAAGGAATAGATCACAGCTTACGCAGCGGTCTGCACGGATTCTTTTACATAGAAGGTGCTGTCAAATGCCTGGCAAAAGCCACACTAGATTTCTCAAAGATTTCTGTAGTGCCTCACGTCAAAGGAAGGATCCTAAGAGCCTGGCTCAAACCACAAAATCAGCCAACGATTCCAACGGGATTCGATTTTGAGCTGCCTGTTAAATACTAGCAAACCATGACAGGAGAGGTTCTTCTTGAAGATTCGCTACTTCCGGGAAGCGGTAAGCGATACTTGGTGTTCACAGTCAACAAACTATCGAAGTTATCGAAATGGGTACGGAAAGTGGTTTATCGAGAGAGCCTTCAAAAAATGTCCTGTTAACTTCTACCAAGTACAAACTATTCATTGCTTCGTATATGGAACAAATTTTGTCTCAAGTTTCTGATCTTTAGTTACAAATAAATGCAAGCTCGTCAAATCAATTGATTCACCCAAACAGAATACCCAAAATAAAACACCAAAACCGTTTAAGAGCTAATAAGTCAATAAGCTCTACAGAACCAAAGCTGAAATTATGAGCTTAGGAGACGCAGAGTCAACTGTCGCTGAACGTATTCCTCCCGGGTCTAGGAACAATCTCCCTGAATAAAATCCCCCGCACAAAATCCCCCATGAGATAAATACCCCAGGACAAAATCCCCCAAAACTCAATTCAGAGTGCTGGAAATCTAAATCTCCATACTATGCATTCTGATTTGTTTTTTTCTTCTATTGAGCTGACATTTACACAAATATCGCTATTTGAACTCAACTTTTCAACAATTTACCTTTAAGACTCTAACTTTCAGTTGACCTTCTATAGGAGAGCCTTGATTGTAAAAAAAACAATAAGCTACGTGGCACAAGCAGTAAGACACATTTGGGGTTGTCAAAATTTTAAGCTTATTTTGATGTTTGTTAATGTTGACTGATAGAAAAAAAATAACACCAAATATAATCCCAGCAAATTGATCAGTTAAAGAAGTGTAATACCAGGTTACTTGGCCATATTTTAATCCTCACTAGCAATTAAACATTAGCCTATTGACGCAAAACTTTGTTCAGTTTGTAAAACACATGCGTTTCACAAACTATCGACAAAAGTCAAAACAATTACGATGCAAACGAAATATTTAAGTTAGGTAACAAAGGGAGCGAGAAAGTGCTTCAAACTACTTATTTTTAGAAGAAAAGAGAATAAGTCAATTACATTCTTTGGGAGTGCGAGTTGCGGTAATCAAAGCAACAGTTTAAAGCCAGGTTATGGGCTCTAAAGGGCGAATTCCTCAAGTCGTCGCCACATGAACACACAGCCGGACTATGCTTTAATGGAAATGTATGTCATCAAGTAGATCACAGCTTACGCAGCGGTCTGCACGGATTCTTTTACATAGATGTTGTCAAATGCCTGGCAAAAGCCACACCAGATTTCTCAAAGATTTCTGTAGTACCTCACGTGAAAGGAAGGATCCTAAGAGCCTGACTCAAACCACAAAATCAGCCAATGATTCCAACGGGATTCGATTTTGAGCTGCCTGTTAAATACTAGCAAACCATGACGGGAGAGGTTCTTCTTGAAGATTCGATACTTCCAGGAAGCGATACTTGGTGTTCACAACCAACAAACTATCGAAGTTATCGAAATGGGTACGGAAAGTGGTTTATCGAGAGAGCCTTCAAAAAATGTCCTGTTAACTTCTACCAAGTACAAACTATTCATTGCTTTGTATATGGAACAACTTTTGTCTCAAGTTTCTGATCTTTAGTTACAATTAAATGCAAGCGCGTCAAATCAATTGATTCACCCAAACAGAATACCCAAAATAAAACACCAAAACCGTTTCAGAGCTAATAAGTCAATAAGCTCTACAGAACCAAAGCTGAAATTATGAGCTTAGGAGACGCATAGTCAACTGTCGCTGAACGTATTCCTCCCGGGTCTATGAAAAATCTCCCTGAATAAAATCCCCCGCACAAAATCCCCCATGAGATGAAATACCCCAGGACAAAATCCCCCAAAACTCAATTCAGAATGCTGGAAATCTAAATCTCCATACTATGCATTCTGATTTGTTTTTTTCTTCTATTGAGCTGACATTTACACAAATATCGCTATTTGAACTTAACTTTTCAACAATTTACCTTTAAGACTAACTTTCAGTTGACCTTCTATAGGAGAGCCTTGATTGTAAAAAACAATAAGCTACGTGGCACAAGCAGTAGGACACATTTGGGGTTGCCAAAATTTTAAGCTTATTTTGATGTTTGTTAATGTTGACTGATAGAAAAAAAATAACACCGAATATAATCCGAGCAAATTGATCAGTTTAGGAAGTGTAATACCAGGTTACTTGGCCATATTTTAATCCTCACTAGCAATTAAACATTAGCCTATTGACGCAAAACTTTGTTCAGTTTGTAAAACATGCATTTCACAAACTATCGACAAAAGTCAAAACAATTACGATGCAAACGAAATATTTAAGTTGGGTAACAAAGGGAGCGAGAAAGTGCTTCAAACTTCTTATTTTCAGAAGAAAAGAGAATAAGTCAATTACATTCTTTGGGAGTGCGAGTTGCGGTAATCAAAGCAACAGTTTAAAGCCAGGTTATGGGCTCTAAAGGGCGAATTCCTCAAGTCGTCGCCACATGAACACACAGCCGGACTATGCTTTAATGGAAATGTATGTCATCAAGTAGATCACAGCTTACGCAGCGGTCTGCACGGATTCTTTTACATAGAAGATGTTGTCAAATGCCTGGCAAAAGCCACACCAGATTTCTCAAAGATTTCTGTAGTGCCTCACGTCAAAGGAAGGATCCTAAGAGCCTGACTCAAACCACAAAATCAGCCAATGATTCCAACGGGATTCGATTTTGAGCTGCCTGTTAAATACTAGCAAACCATGACGGGAGAGGTTCTTCTTGAAGATTCGATACTTCCAGGAAGCGGTAAGCGATACTTGGTGTTCACAACCAACAAACTATCGAAGTTATCGAAATGGGTACAGAAAGTGGTTTATCGATAAAGCCTTCTAAAAATGTTCTGATAACTTCTACCAAGTACAAACTATTCAATTCATCGTATATGGAACAACTTTTGTCTCAAGTTTCTGATCTTCTTTTGAAAGCTCGAGAAGGAAGAAGACAGATCCATTTACTCAAATCGGAAAACCAAACTGAACTACCAAGGGAATCGCAAGAATCATGTTTCAGAGTTAAATGCAGTTTTACTCAAAAACGTTTGATGCAATAAAAATTAATTCCTGTTTTGTTTTCCAATCGAATTGAACTTATTTATTTAACTTTACGAGCTAAACATTTGCAATTTTTTTTTAATGTGGCAAGATATATGTCTCACACAATTAAAACAGAGTCCAAGCGGAGCTTCTTATGACTTGCGCAGCAACGCAAGCGTATCATTGCAAGCTAGCAAATAGAAAACGATACAGAAACTCGGAATTTTTTGTTTGAACAAATCGTCAATTTTACGAAAAAATGAAAACACCGCTGCAATCACTAAATCAGCTTTTAAAACGATAAACTGAAAAAGATGGTCCGGTCGGGAGACCCAGATCTTAGGGTGCAAAGGTACCAACATAACTGTAGACCAAGAGGGAAGGAGCCTGAAAGTTGGTGGTAAGATTCAATATTTCAGCAAATTTCAATTTCTTATCGATTTGTACGAAAGTTGCTTATGGGGGAGTCTACTTCCTGATTACAAAAAACTTGCTCTCGCAGGATTAAATAGAAAAGCAGATGAAGATAGATAGATTAGATTGATAAACTAACACAAAAAATGCGAACAGAATATAAAATCGGACGATTGTTTTGCTTATGATCACGTTACGAACGATCTTTCTATAGGGAAGGTTCAATATAGTTTCCTGGCCATCATATCACTGAGTTACTTAATCATTGTTGCTTGGCTACTTAAAAAGAATGCTGTGAAGAATATCCAGCACATTTTACACAATGTTATACATGTATTAGCTTAACTAGGCCTGGTGCTTTATACGCTTAACCATAGCAGCGAACGCTTAAACGCGGCTATAACATAACTTATCAAATAAACCATTGATTTATTAATTAGGCTTCAGCTACTAAGGAAATCGAAGTAAAGACATCCTAACTGTAATCCAAACTAGGTTGTTTAGCTGATAACTCTAGTTCACTTTAATAGTTTGAGCTGTTTATCAGACATTATACTCGTTTTAAACATTATTGATATGCTTATTTCCAAAACTTACTTGCGATCGACCCCGTGGTTTGTGCTTAATTTATGGTTAAAACATATCGAGCCAAAACGGACACTTTTAGGTGAAATTTATTCCACACTTTCCTATCAATACAATAAATAATAACAAACAACTCGCCAATTTGATGAACTGAGTAGAGACTGTTTTTGTAATCAAGAAACTGCTCTAAAATCTTCTGGTAAATTCTATCCTGCTCCGAATCATTAGACGCCTGCCATTGCCAGTCTAAACAAATCCATACGGCGTACATTTTTTCAGAGCAAAAAACAATAGCAAAAGATACAAACAAGTACCTCGACCTACCCACAAGCAAAGCAGAGCCTGAGCCAGCATCATCTGTCCACATCTTAGCATGCAGCCCCATCCTTTATCAGACGAAAACTCAGTCCCTCCAATGGTAGAGAACCCCTTCCTGTATGTCATTAAAAGACGGCTTTGGATGTCTTTTTTGAGGTAGCGTCTCCCGTCTTGAGTACTTCCATTGTGAAATTTTCCAAGAACCCAGACAGGTCCGAGCCATTCAAGATCATCGGGTGAGGCAGACACCGACGAATCAGGCGACACATGATTAACAGTACCTTAACATCGAACAATTTAAACGCAAAAGAAATACTTTTTGGGTAATGTATTGGATACTTACGTCTCATTATATGCTGGGGCGCCAAAGCCATTACGTTAACCCTTCAATTTCGCTGTGTCACATGCTATAACTAAAAGCAACGCTACCACAGAAAATTCCAATGCGAACATTTTCAACCATTCGATTCAGTCCATTAAATCTATCTCAACTCTCAACGCTACTATTGCATGGACTCACAGCAAAGCCTCGCAAAATGTGCTATTCAAATTACCACTGAGGCAAAGCTGAACCTCGCATTACATGCGATACAGAATAGGGATTAGAGCTAAAAATCCTTAAGGCCAAGAGTAAACGTCCTTTCATGAAAAACTCCAACATTAAAGTTTCTGAAAAAACGAGATCGGAAACTTCCTCGATACATATGCTCAAGATCTTGCAGAGCTTTCTTAGAAAAATCTCAGTGTTAAGGCCAGCGGCATCCTGAACTTCAGAAGCTATTGGTTGAAAACAATATCCATCATTAATAACATATCTATATTTTTCAGCTTAACGAGCTTCCACCTCGACCGCCGCCGTTCCGGGGTTACAAACCGAGCATGCGCCTGTTCATCTGGGAGCGACGGACAATAAAGCAAAATTACTGGTTCAAAAAAATAGCCCAAACCAAGCTTATCAAATGCATCAAACACAAACAAAACAACACAAACAAAAAGAATTAATTCCCTTATTAAAAATAAGGCAAAACTTATATAAATAGATGAACAAATATATGTTAAAAACTAAGATCTACAGAAAGAGCAACGGCACTTCAAAAACCAAGTGCATGAGTTTTCACGATTGAAGAGTTTAGAGCGCTCTAGTAAGAAGTCTTTGAGGGTACTGCGAAAACGGCGCAACGAGGTGAAAAAGTCGATCTCCGTTGTTTTCAGCATGTAGTTCACGGCACGTGCTGTTCGGTGGGTGAAGAACGCCTCGGTTGACCATCTTCTTGCGGTTTTCACTGTCATCAACGCGCTGGATCTTGATGTCGTCAGCTTAAAATAATAATACGCAGCAAAAGGGAGTTCTGAGTCGCCATTTAACATTTTGTGGAAAAGGATAAGGTCGTTAAATATAAGCGTGAAGGAGATGGGAAGCGAATTCGTTAAAGAAAGTTGCTTTAAATAAGATAAATGACCTGTAACCCAGGTAAGACATTTCCTGTTGAAGTTCTCAAGCTTCCTTAACATAGTTAAAGAGGGAGACCACACAGGACTAGCATACAATAAAATACTTTTAACACAAGTATTGATGAACATGAATTTGACAGAAAGTGGAATGTGATATGGAATAGAACGTTTGATAAAATGAAAGCTTTTATTGCTCGATAGAAGTTTTTTACTAATATGGTCTGACCAAGTAAGATCAGAGCTAACAAGCAGACCAAGGTCTTTGAGAAAATTAATAGAATGTACAGATTGGTTGTTAACAAAAATACAATCAGGAAATTTTCCATTGAATATAATGAAATTGCACTTGTCTTTATTGATCTTAAGACCATTCTGAGTACACCAATGAGTGAAATTGTCCACATCAGACTGTAAATCACTGCAATTTGTCTTACAAATGAGTTTTGAGTCATCAGCGAAAAGAAACAGTTTGAAAGGTTAAATATATCAGGAAGATCATTAATAAACAAAAGGAGAAGCAGAGGACCCAGTACGCTCCCTTGAGGTACACCACTAGTAACTGGTGAAGTGGTGGAAATGCTTGTTCGATCTTTAACACATTGAAAACGGTTTGAAAGATAGGAAATCAAAAGAGTGGTAAAAATATCGTCAAAACCAAAAGCAGCAAACTTCTGTACATTAATGTCGTGCCTGACAGAATCGAAAGCTTTGCTAAAATCGAAATACATGGCAGCGCAAGGAATTTTGGCATCATGAGTGTGATATACTTCATCTAGATATTAGAGCATTTGCGTTATGGTGGAACGCTTCTTGCGGAATCCATGCTGAGCATTCGAAATTTTGTATCGAACTCGAGGGTAAATATAATTGAACAAAATATGCTCGAAAATGAGTGAAAGAGGAGGAAGTATGCTAATTGACCGATAATTGGTAATATCATAAGGAGAACCAGATTTGAAAACAGGAGTGATGAATGCAGTTTTCCAGGAATTGGGCCAAACACAAGATTGTATAATGGATAAGAAAAGGAAAGAAACAAGCGGAGAAAGAAGCGAAATATTGATTGAAAGTCTCACTAATTAAAACATCGCTCTCGACCTGTTTGCGTCCCCAAAAAAGTTTAGTTGGGACAGGTTGTGTCGATTTAAACTGGTTAAGAAACATAAAAACTTGCTTGGAAGAATTTGGCGAAAAACGTTGAATCAGCAGAGTTTTATCGAGTTCAACTGAGTTTGAGAAATCATTCTCTAATTGAGACAGATATTGGGGATTAACACAATTCGAATTGTTCATAGTTCTCAGTTTATTAGCAATATGAATAGAATGAGATGAGAATTAAAAAGGAAAATCTTTTCTGCGAGCCGTAATTTTACGACATGAAGAATCAAGTGCTTGATAAACAGTTTCGTTGAACTTGTCAATGAACTCATTATGACAGTTTGAATGCAAGATAGAGTATAAGGGGGATATAGCCCGACTGAAACTTTCTAAATTAAGACTACTTTTTGAGTAAGTGACAGATCGCTTTGTAGTAAAATGTGAAACTGAACTTGCAGCAAATACATGCGCAAAAACAGGAAAATGATCAGAATAAGCAGTGGCACCTCGAAAACTATAAATCGATGAGGATCTGAAACGCAGAGCAAGTCAAGGATGTTATCAGAAACTATGGTGCTGAAATCAACAATTTGAAGCAAGTCAAGATCATCTAGTACTGTCAAAAATTTGTTTGAATAATCAGAAGTAGCAGTGTGTGAGCTCCAGCAGACATCAGGAAGGTTGATGTCTCCGAGAACTGCGGTAACAACTCGGTCTTTCGCAACTTTGCGACCGAGACATTTTACAACCTCATCACGGTGGTTAAACATAGCCTCAACAAGCACAGAAGGATCAACTCTGAATAATGAAGTTTGAGGTGGATTGTAAATCAATAAGAAACTATAAAATGCTTTCTGGAAATCAATAATGATAGAACAGCAAAAATCAGAGTAAGAAAAGGATGATAAAATACTAAGAAAAGGATGATAAAATACTGAGTTCCAGGCTCACACGGACAGCAATAAGCACTCCTCCATGTGCTCCTGAAGTTCTGTCAAGTCGCATGAGGACGTGATAGCCAGAAGCAGGGAAGATTTCGTGATTCTCTATGTCATCATAGAGCCAGGTTTCGGTGATAAACAGTAAATCAATGTTGTTAGAAAGCAGAAAATTGCATAGCTTGAGACGTTGAGTACTTGTTATCAAGCTTTGAGCGTTGATAAGACACAACCTCAAATCCGCTAGTCATTCGGGTAACGGAATTTCCACATTATTATGGTAAAGTTTCAGGTTTTTTATCTTGAGATCGCTCTTTGGAATGTTGTCTTTGGGGGAAACATCAGTCCTCAGTTTCAATAATTTACGCAATTTGATTTGGTCAGTAGGAGACAGAGATTTTGAAATGTAAATGGGAGATTGAAAGGATTGCAGTTTGTAAGCTTTAGATAAAACTTTGACACAGTCAAATTGGGAAGTAAATTCAACAAGTAAGGTGCGTGGGCGCGTACTGGTAGCAATATGTTTTCCCAGGCGCTTGAAAAATTTAATTTTAACAAAAGAATCCTCCCCTAGGTGAGTCAAAATAGCAGTAATATGGTGAATATCAGATTCAGTTTGTGATTCGAAATCACCTCTGTTTTCGGATATACCATCAATTTTCAATTCACGAGTCCAAGTATAATCGACAGGAGAAGAAATTGCAGGAACAGTAGTAGGAGTTGAAGCAACTGCGGCGTATGTTTGAGCAGAGCTCGAAACTGTACCAGCAATTTCAGTAAATTGCATTCAGTGACTGTTTTTTCACTCCGGAATCCGAGGTACCGTTAACTGCGAGGTTCGGTGGCAACCAAAGTTTCTCAATTGGTTATTCAATTCCTTAGATTCACATTATGGGTTTTAACCTCCTAAAAATACTTGCTTTTTTGCAAAATGATTTTAAGGAACGGTGCGATCGAATTTTAAGAAGCTCATTATGTAATTTAGAGAAATTTTTGATAAAAAGAAAAATTCAAACGTTTTCGCAGCGATGTGCGTCGTCAGAATTTTTTACAATATACTAATCTAAATGAAGATAAAACATCAATTTACTAATGTTATTTATAATATAAGAAATTCAAAATATTAATTTAAACGTTTTCGCACATTTTGTGCATCATCAGGATTAAAATTTTTTACAACATTTATAAAACGATCAAATATCTGAAAAATGAGAAACATGTCTGGAAGTGCTTTAAAACTTTTTGACCAATCAAATTTAAACAACTGTGATTACATAATAAATTACGTGATCAATAATAACATTTTCTTGTAAATTTCTGATATTTCTTTTTAGCTTATAGTTCTTTCATGGTTAAAAATTTCGATTTGGGTATATTTTTGATTCTGACATGCCAGTTTTTTAACTTTTAGCTATGTTATACAAAAACTATAATTTTAGTGTTAATTCCCGGCTAAATCCCGGCTAATTCCCGGCTAAATCCCGGCTAATCTAAATGAAGATAAAACATCAATTTACTAATGTTATTTATAATATAAGAAATTCAAAATATTAATTTAAACGTTTTCGCACTTTTTGTGCATCATCAGGATTAAAATTTTTTACAACATTTATAAAACGATCAAATATCTGAAAAATGAGAAACATGTCTAGAAGTGCTTTAAAACTTTTTGACCAATCAAATTTAAACAACTGTGATTACATAATAAATTACGTGATCAATAATAACATTTTCTTGTAAATTTCTGATATTTCTTTTTAGCTTATAGTTCTTTCATGGTTAAAAATTTCGATTTGGGTATATTTTTGATTCTGACATGCCAGTTTTTTAACTTTTAGCTATGTTATACAAAAACTATAATTTTAGTGTTAATTCCCGGCTCCTGAACTCATCGCGTGTGTTGATCCTCGGCCTCTCCCTCCAAATAT